TTCTTCAATTCAGGGATTTGACATCACCTGATGGAAGCTAAAGGGCACAATCCAACCTTTTGATTTTAAAGATATTGATGGAGAAGCAATCAGGTTGCTGAGTTCCTTAAAAGTTGTGTTGCTATTATATATATTAGGGTAAGAACACTACTCCTACGTACGGTTGAAGTTTTGTAAGGTGTTCTTTTCCATGTGTTTGTTCATGGATGTACAAATGCCAAGTGATGCTGTTTAGTACTTGATGTATAAATGCCAAGTGATGTTTCTTTTTGGTTTGATTGGCATCTGGACTATATCATATGCATTGGGTGAACATGTTATTAGGTTTTATTTTTGTAAGAGCAGGTGCCAATATGGCTCTCAATCATTTTTGTAAGTATTGGTTTGTATTCTTAAATGAATAAGATTTAACTTAATCAAGTAATATCATGTAATACCGATTAAAAAAATGTACGATTGCCCGGGCTTAGCCCGGGGCAAACATGTAGTTGGGATTTATGGCAATTTCAACGCATTTAATTCATATTAGGAATTTTCAGTTTTTCTGTAGAAGTGATGATTAATTTCAGATTCTAGCAATTGGATTACGTTGCCTAAATAACTTACTCTTTCTATCCCAAAATAATTATTTTCATATTATATGATTTTTATGCAACCAAAACAATAATCATTTTTGAGACAAAAAGAATAAATAACAATTTATGCTAGTGTTCGTTTATTACTATTACTACAACGACTACAATAGCGATCTTCTTACTATACCTTTCCCTTTTTGTATATGATGTACATCTAACGTGGTATAACAGTTATACTGAAGATTTACTCCTTTGGAGGCCGCTCGACCCTCAAATATCTTATAAATGTGATTCAATTAAGACCTTTATGAGATTTGCTACAGCCTTATCACATACGTGACAATATGTTGTTATTCGCAAATTAGGAAAATAAAAACAAATTATGAAACTGACGGATAAAATAAAACATCTTAAAAGAAATGAATTTCTATTTAATTACTAGATTTCAAGAGGCAATAGCAAAAGCGAAAATCATGTAAAAAAGAAAAATATTTCATTAAGCAAAACTTTATTCTTATTTGATCAATATTTATACATCGATCAATTCTCATACCACATATTCTTCTTCAAAACACTAAGTCCCCGAAACAATATATAAAACCCATCTGCTCGCACATACCAAATGCATACATGATTTTCGCAATTGTGCTTAACCAATGATTTATCATAAACAGCCATATGTCTGTTTTTCTTAATCCACCAAAATTGACAATAATATTTGGGGTTTGTCAAAGGTTTTCGATCAAACCCAAAACTGAACTCTCCATTAGGAGGAAGATTTCGGAAACCAAAATCATAACCACCTTTCTTATAACAGTGGAAATTTAAGGGATGGCCATCATCAGGCAATTCATTCTTAACAACAATGTCCCAGTGTTTTGCCATGCTAGGTTTTGATATATTTAAGAAACATATGATGAAAAGAAGAAGAACTGAAAGGAATGATTTTTGAAAAGTATTCATATTTTGTTGTTGTTGTTGTTTGGTTGGGTGCTATATTTTGTGATGTTCAAAGTGATTTTTATAAAGGGCTTATGAGATCTGGTGAATTCATTCTAGTTTAGGATTAATGAATAGTAAATGCAGTAACTGATTTTGAACAAATCGTTAGGGGGCGATAAACACAAGATCCAATTATTATTGATCACAATGAATTTTATTTTTTATTGTAATGAACTTTTTGAGCCATTTTTGTATTATATACATGCACTATGATATTGTGTTCATGGCTAAAATCTTAGACAAAATAAAATCAAAATTAATTTGTTTATTTATATATCTTTTTTAAAAAATGCTTTTATGTACACATGGAAAAAAAGTTCATGAAAGTCTAGATAAATAAATAAGGAATATTTGTTCAAATTTAATTCTTTAAAAATATCTATCCATTCTATACGAATTGATACATCATCAATATAATTATAATTCACAATAACCAGTAACTTCATTTGATTTTTTTAATTTACATATTACCTAATTTAATACGAATGCATTTTGACTCACTTTGAACTTTGTTTGATTTTGTTTCATTGTAGACTACGAATTCAATAACACAGCAAATAAATGCATTTTCTAGTGATGATCAACATGGTACTTATAGCTTCACAAATGCATTGCTCTTTTTTTTTAAAAAAAAAAAAAAAAAAACTTTGATGGTTCCAGTGAGAATCGAATCCTCGACCTGCCACCCCACCCAGCCCTCCCACCCCACAAACGGCATTACTCTTGCCGTGCATTAGCAAATAAAACTACTCAATTTATAATGCACGTCTATTGTGATTTTCTTTCATTTTTTTATAAGCATTTAACAACTAGAAAAACCCTAATTCAATACTCGAATGTGAAATTAGAAAAAGTCGTTGATTGTTTGTTATGATCAATATGTGTGAGAGACTGCGACAAGTCAGTTTTATTATGTCACAAATTCTAGAAGCTCAAGAATTGAAGCCATTTCTGACTGACTTGATGTAGGAAATGAATGAAAAATGAAGAGCCCTAAATTTAGTAGCAGAAAAATTAAAGAAGAAGAAAATGAGAAAGTTTCTGTATATTGACCAATTCTGATATCATCCGAATGCTGTACAGTGTGCCTATATATATATATTCAAACTATGTCATCTGAATCTATTTATTTACACTTGCAGAGAAAACACAAAATTTACAACTAATCCAATACATTAATCTAATCGAAACCGTCGGATTTACAAAGATTACAAAGATGAAATGGATTGATGACTGACGATGCTTGGAATTGTATCCTCGGCTCGGCTGTGGAACTCTGACTAGGGTTTCTTGTAAAAAAGAGTCTCGGGGGTCTCCCGATGGTAGACACTCTGATACTTAAGTCAGTAAATAGGGTTATAGAAGCAACGTGTGTATATTGATTGGTGATTAAGATAGCGTACCTCTATTGTGAAGTAATGGTCCCTATTTATAGACTTGGGAAGTACCGAATATTACTAGGGTTAGTAATATTACACCGCCATCCAAGAGGCGGTTGGACCCTAGAGCCGCGTAATGGGCCGGTCCATCAAGGGTAGTGGATGTGGACTCGTCAAGTGTCCCTGTCAAGTGTTAATTGTGTAAAATAAATAAGACTTGACACTAAATAAAACTGACCTCTACACGGCCCATATGAAATGAATAGCTCTTGACCCAGTCCAAATGTAAACGTTTGCGGGCGAAGATCAGAACCAGGAAGATGACCCGACTTAGAAATCCCGCCTAAACAAAAGTTGTGCCCCATCAGTGTACACGATTCCCAAACGACGGCTGGGCAATCATAATTATTCCTCGAACTTCACCCCAGATGTCGGGTCGTGGGAGAGAGAAAGGGAATTTCTTTCTTTTTTTATATTGGGAAAAGGCTAGAGACTTTGGCTATTCATCTCTTATCAAAATTACAACAAAAAAAAAATATACAACCCCTCTGGCCCGGCGCATCAAATTCTGTTGTCAAGGACAGAAATTCTTCATCTTCGCCGGAAACTCTTGCAGCAGCTATTACCAGCAAAGCATTATCTCAGTGCAATACGTCAAGCTCCGACAGAAGTAAGTCTTCCAACCTTCTTGTATTTTCAACACCTACATATGCCTTTTACTGAATCTTGTTAGATTTACATATATTAGGGTAGATATGGCCGCTCAAACAGTATCTGGATTTGCGTCAACCATAAATTCCGAAGCAAAGGCTAAAGAAATCGCCAAACAATATAACTTCCTCGTAGATCTAGAATATCGAGCACCGTTGGATTATGAACGGGCTGACACTCCACCAGAGGGGAAAATTATTATATAGGCTAGATTCATGTTTCTAGGATTAAGATTCCCCCTTTACCCTCTGTTTGGTAAGATAGTACAACACTATAAAATTCCACTTGCTCGATTCATCCCAAATTTAGTCACAGCGGTCCTTGGTTTTGCAAGACTCTGTGTATTGATGCGTTCCTTTGACTAAGTACAAAGAGTGGTATAATGTAAAAACCAACATAACGTCGAAAGCAAACCACGCAGTAGAACTCTTTGATTGTGCCCCGATATGGAAGCCAAACTACTTATTTGTGAAAGCATCAAAAGAGTTTTGCGTGGCATGGGATTACCGTGAAATCCATGAATCAGGTGTTAGAGCAAATACATGAACCCGTTCTGACAAACAGAAAATCGAGAAGTACAGAGTTGATATTAATGCTCTAGAATCTTTTGAGACCATCCTCAACTACACCAAAGTGCAACAATACATTCTTCCTGTCCACATCGAGGAGAAAAAAGGTAGTAACTCATCATGTGCATTTTCTTTGTTTTAGGTCATGTCATCGAGCAAAGATACCGTTGGCTTGTTTGGTGACGCCAAGATTTTTGAAATTAAAAATTTAGATGAATAAGGATCGTCGAACAAAGTTACCAAGAAGAGGAAGCTAAAAAGACTTGTAAAGGCGTCTGACGCACACGCAAAGCCCAAGAAGAAAAAGCCACCCCCTGTCGTGGAGAAAGAAAAGGTAACCGACGAAGAAGTCTTGGTTAAGAAGGAGGGAGAAATCAACGAAGAAGCCAATCCCTCGAAAACCGTCCCTTCTACTGGTAAGGAAACAGACGGGAACCCAATTCCCAAGGCAATCCCAGTAACAGAGCGGCATCCAGAATGGTTTAAACCTATCAAGGCCTCACTGGAGAAGAAGAAGAACACTGTCGAAGACACTCATGGGTCATCGACGTACACCGTGCAGCTGCCGTATATCATTTTGGGGACACTAGGATCGAGTGTCCCATCATCGAGGATGTTGCAGCGACCTTGATGGAAGAGGAATCGCTGAAAATGGTAAGATCTATCAATCTTTTAAATTCATTTACTCTTGAATTCCTGCGATACTTTTGCTGAGATCTAGCAAGTATTCTTTATAGTTGACCACCTCGATGGCTAGCATTCTTATGCGAGAAAAGAAACGGAAACAAGAGATTGCTTGTCTGAAACTTGAAAAGGGACTCCTCGAGGAAGAGAAGTTAACGCATGAGGAGTCGATAAAGGAGGAGCAGGCCATGAGGTTTGCCAAGGATAAGGAGTTAGCCACGGTCCAGGCCATGTACAGGGAGGTTGAGACCAAGCTGACAGAATATAGAGAGTCCCACGTTCCCAAAGATCTGCAGAAATGGATGACTGCCTTTTGGGCAAGAATGGTGCCAACTGGTGGATTGGCAAGCATCCTGGTGGGCATTAGCAACAATGCCAAGGCATTGGGTGGACATGGTGTAGCTGTTGCCGCTCTCCAGAGGATGAAAAGCGGAAGGACTATCAATGCCGGATGGCTTCAGCAATTCATAAAGCCGCATTCTAAGAAGACTCTCTTGAAGCTATAAAGAATGGACTGCAGCAACTCTCTGATGGTCAACTCCCACTGCTCGGGCCATTATGCAAGGTCGTTGCCTAGATGAGTTCATCAACAGAGATTGCTTCTTTTGAAGGAGATTCCCCAACAATGCTTCCTGTTAATCCTGGAGAAGAGGTGCATGTGCCGGAGCTGGCCCCATATTTCATCGGTGCTGAGGTGGTATGGGAAGAAGATTCCTCGGAGCAGGTCGAGGAAGACTAGAAGAATGACCAGGAGCCCGAAAAGGAAGGGACATTGACTCGCACCCCTGTCGAGGAGACAAATGAAAGTCAGCCAAGTCGACCTCCCGGCCAAAATGACGTATGAACTCTCTTCTTGTAATAGGACTTTTGCCGCGACCTTAGCCTGCTGTAGTGATTCTTTAACAATTTTTGCCAACTATGAATTAGATCAGCGCTTCCTTTTTCTAACATTTGATATACCTCTGCCAATTATGCCAGGATTCATACTTCGTTCATCAAGTACGTCTGTTGATTCTCGAGGAAGACGAGATCGCAAGGTTTCCAATGTATACGATAATTTCCTCAATGTTGAGGAAATTTGGGGATGTTCACAACACTGATATAGTGAGAACTCTCGAGAAAGAACTTACAGATGATGTCAATGCACTTAACCTACGAACGCACTCCCGCTTAGTGCAGCGCTTTAGACAACAAAAGGAAGAATGGAAGCGTCGACTCCACCAATATGACTTGGACTTTCACAATTCACAATTCCCATACCATGCCAAAAAGCATTGACTCCACCAAAACGCCTCTTTTTTTTTTTACAATTTTTGGCATGGATTGGGAATTAAATTATTAATAAACTTCTTAATTTTGAATTGATACATCATTAGAACTTCAAATCCTATCAGGAATTCTAATTTAAATAAATTTTTTTGAAGATGTATTTATAGTAAAATAATAAAATTAATTTGATTAATTATTTGATTCCAAAAAGAAATGATGTTAGTGACTATGAAGGTAAATTATTTTTTCACTATCAATCATAGTTAGTCAATTGTTAGTGAATTAATATGTTATATTTTTTATGGAATCTAAAAATAGTCCAGGAGGATTCGTTGCCGCCATAATTTTTCTAAGGTACCGTATCCCCCCTTTGTATATAATTTTATGAATCTAAAAATTTGTTGTTGAAACATCCAAGGGGCTGCTTCGGAACCCTTTAGACGCACATTTCAAGATTTAGTATCTGGTTATAAACCAGCAGTGGTGGCACTATTGGAACAAAGGATCAGTGGGAAGGAAGTAGATATTTTTATTAGGAATAGTGGTTTTGCACGATCGTTTCGTGTGGAATCTGTAAGTTTCTCTAGAGGTATCTGGATAATGTGGAGAGAATCAGTAAATGTGGAAATTTTGGCATGTCACAGGCAATTCGTCCATACCAAAATCACCACGGAGGAGGGGGATGCTTGGGTGACCTTTGTGTACGCCAGCCCAATTCCGGGGATAAAGAGGGAGATATGGAGGGAATTAAACAATATAGCAAGGGGAATGCAGGGGGCGTGGCTTGTCAGAGGTGACTTTAACAGTATTCGCCTTGAATCAGAGAGCAAAGGAGGGGTGGGAAGAAGGGGGATAATATGCGAAGGATTTGAGGAGTGGATTTTTTATAAAAGGTTGAGGGAGATTAGAACAGACGGGGTTAAATTTACACGGAGGAGAGGGCGATTACAAAGAAGGCTGGATAGGTTTCTAGCCAATGAAGACTGGGTTGACGGATTTCCAGATGGCTAGTGTGAACACTTACCAAAGAGGAACTCTAATCATAATCCTCTTTTAGTAAGATTTGGGAAACGGCCCAAGGGACATCAGGGAGACAGACAATTCAGGTTCCTGGCTGCTTGGTTAACTCACAAGGATTTTGATGAGTTCACTAAACAAGTCTGGAACTCACAGGCAGATTTCTCGGTGGCGACGGAGCAATTCAAAAACGATGTTCAAAGGTGGAACAAGAACGTATTGGGGAACATATATCATAAGAAAAGATGGTTGTTGGCTAGATTGAAAGGAATACAAAGAGTAAGGGAGGATCACGAAAATGGCAGGTTAGAGGAATTAGAAATTCAACTACAGTCGGAATTAGATTCCATTCTGTTGCAGGAGGAGACTCTTTTAATCCAGAAATCCACAAGGAACTGGAATGTGGATGGAGACAGGAATACTAAGTTCTATCATGGCGCTGTTAAAGGTAGAAGACGAGGAAACCGGATAAAAATGTTGATAGATGATGGAGGGCAGATTATTGAGGAACAAGAGAAATTGGGGAGGATGGCGTTACAATTCATGAAGAATTTGTATTCGACAAAGGAGACCAGCTTTGTCCCCTTCCCGGTAAGGGGTTGTTTCCCAACAATCAAGGAGGCTCACATGCTAAGACTCTCTAGGAAGGTGGAGGATCAGGAGATTCTAAGTGCCCTAAACAACATAAACCCGTTGAAGGCCCTAGGCCCAGACGGCCTTCATGCAATCTTTTACCAGGAACAGTGGAAGGTGGTTGGACCATCAATATGCAGTACGGTGAAAGCAATCATAGAAAGGATTAGGGTCCTAGACAAACTCAACGACACGCTCATAGTACTTATCCCAAAAGTTGAGAACCCGAACTCCATGAAGTTGTTCAGGCCTATAAGTCCATGCAACGTTATCTATAAGGTTGCAACAAAACTGATTACAAAGTGCATAAAACCTATAATGCCGGGTCTTATAGGTACAGCTCAGGCGAGCTTTGTCCAAGGGAGGCAAATTAGTGACAACATCATTGTGGCACAAGAGATCATCCACACCATGCAAAATATGAAAGGAAAGAAGGGAGTGATGGCAGTTAAGATAGACCTCGAAAAAGCTTATGACATGCTGAGTTGGGACTTTATCGAGAAATCATTACAACAAGCAGGCTTCCCGGTCTGCATTATAAAGGCAATCATGGATTGCGCGTCGACACCTAAGATGCAGGTTCTTTGGAATGGGGTGCCGTCCAAGAGCTTCAAACCAACGAGAGGGATACGCCAAGGTGATCCCATCTCCCCGTATCTCTTCGTTCTTTGCATCGAAAGATTGGCGCATGCCATAGGAAGAAAGGTAGATGAGGGGAAGTGGAAACCCATTACTTATGGGAAAGGCTAGGTGAAAGTTCCCTACTTGTTTTTTGCTGACGATATAATGTTGTTTTTGGAGGCCTCCGAGGATCAAGTTTTATTGGTGAAGGAAGTATTGGCTGAGTTTGGGAGATCATCAGGCCTGAGAGTGAGCACTACAAAAACAAGGGTACAGTTTTCCAAGAATGTCCACTTTGAAAGAAGGAGGAGAATGACTTTGGAACTTGGCTTTGGGGTGGTGGAAGACTTGGGTAAGTATCTAGGCATGCCGTTAATCCATGGTAGGGTCACCAGGAAAACATATGGCGAAATTGTGGAAAAAAACGAAGAAGAAGCTGAATGGATGGTCAGCGGCATCTTTATCTTTGGCGGGAAGGGCAACCCTTGGGCAGTTGGTGCTTAGCTCAATGGCGTATTATGCTATGCAAACGGCTCCACTTCCCATGGCAACTTGTGATGAACTGGAAAAAATGACCCAGAGGTTTTTATGGAGTGGAGCATCCGAAGCCAGGAAAATTAGTCTCGTTTCCTGGGAGGTCTGCCAGAGTAAGGAGTCGGGGGATGGGGTTCAAGAAACAGCGGGAAATGAATAAGAGTTTTTTGATGAAGTTGGGCTGGGAATTAATAAAAGGGAGTGATAAACTATGGGCCAGGGTAGTTAGGGCCAAGTATAGCATAGACCTGTCCGATGGGCTTCGTTTAACGGACAGACCGAATGTTTCCTCCTGCTTTAGAGGAATAAGGAACAATTGGGCTTTGGTCCAGGAAGGAACAAGGTGGGCAGTGTGTAACGGGTCCAAGGCCAAATTTTGGATGGATAAATGGCTGGCGGGCTCTCCTCAACTATATACAATTGCTTTAAGTCCAATATCGGAGGACCAAAAGCATTGGACTGTGAATCAATATACAGATGACTGGAGACAATGGAGATGGGATCTGTTCAACTCAATACTTCTGGCCACGAAGCTACTCAAGATTGGAGCGACGCTCCCGCCGAGCCCGAGATTAGGAGAAGATGAATTGTTGTGGGCTTGTGATCCGAAAGGCGTGTTCTCAGTAAAATCGGCTTACGGAGCCAAGACGCAACAACACCAACAGAATGGAAGCATCTTGTGGAAATACGTTTGGCGTTGGGAAGGGCCACAGCGGGTCCGCACTTTCCTTTGGTTGTTGGCCAAGGAGAGGCTGCTGACGAACATAGAAAGGGTAAGGAGGCACCTTACGGACGACCCAATCTGCCTAGGATGTGGCCAGAAGGAGGAGCAGGCAATCCACGTGGTTAGAGACTGTCCATTGGCAACTTAGATATGGTTAAGAATTGTCCCGCACTACCTTCACTTCTCCTTCTTTAATTGTGATCTCCAAGAGTGGTTCGTTCATAACCTGCAGAACAGGGGGGCTATTTTGGGGGATTGGAACTTGTTATTTGGAGTAGTAACGTGGAAATTGTAGAGGTGGAGAAACCTGAGAGAATTTGAGGGGGAGAACCCTTCACTGTACCGCAGAATGGGGGAAATAAACCAAAAGGTTAAGGAGATAAAACAGGGTACAGAACACAGGAGGAGGATGGGGGTACCACAAGTAGTTAAGGAGCAGAGGATGTTGAGCTGGAAACCTCCACCGCCAGATTGGTTCAAAGTCAACTCTGATGGTTCGCTGGATGGAAGAACGGGGTGGGCAACGGCGGGTGGAGTGATCAGAGATTCCTATGGCCAGTGGAAGGGGGGTTTTGTGATGAACATTGGGTATTCTTCAATAACAGGAGCTGAGATGTGGGGCCTATTCTAGGGTCTAAGCCTCGCATGGGATCGAGGGTTCAGGAAAGTAGAAGTTGAGGTAGATAATCTCGGAGTTATCCAAATGGT